GGCAGAGGGGCAGAGGGGCAGAGGGGCAGAGGGGCAGAGGGGCAGAGAGGCAGAGAGGCAGAGGCAGAGAGGTGCAAGGGCAGGGGCAGAGGCAAAGGCAAACTCTGTGAGTTTGAGATCAGACTGGTCTATGCAGAGTTTTTCAGGACAGGCAAGGCTACATAGTGAGATTCTGTCTTAAACATAAAGTTCTAACTTAGCACAGTGGCTCCTGCCTGTGATCCTAACACTTGGGAGGCAGAGGACTAAGGAGCACTTCACAGCAAGTTTGAGGCCAGCTTTGTCTACATAGGAAGTTCTAGGACAGGCAGGGCTACATACCAAGACCTTGTCTCTAAGAATTAATTATGTGGGGCTGGAGAAATGGCTCCCTGGTTAAGAATATTTGTTGCTCTTGCAGAGGAGTTCAGCTCCCAGAACCCACACGACATATCACAACTCATGTGAACTCCAGGTCTGGAGGATCCAGTGCCTTTTTCTGACCTTCACAGGTGCTAAGCACATACAGGGTACACAGACATAAATCCAGGAACCACACTCATACATTTAAAATAAGATTTTAAAATCTAAAAACAGGCAATTAATTAATTAAATTCTAACTTTTAAAGTGCCAAATACTAGTGTGCTGTTATTAGAACAAACTCCAGAATTGTAGATATTTAATATTTTTCAATACTTAGAAGATGATTGCTTTTTAAACTTTTATTTATGTATTTATTTATTGTGTATGCTTGTGTGTGAGGGGGGAAAGGAGAGAGGGAGAGAGAGAAAGGAAAGGAAAAAGGGAGAGAGGAGAAAAATCGTGTATGTAAATCCGAGGCACATGTGTGGGTGTAAGAGGACAACTTGTGGGAAGTAATGTTCTCCTGTAATTCATAGGTCCTGGAGACTGAACTCAGATCATCAGGCCCAACTGCAGGTTCCTCCATGGAACTGAGCCATCTCACTAGCCCATGGTTTTCACTTAAAATGTTATCAGATGTTCTATGATCATACCCATCTGGCATTTTATTTTATAAAAAAATTTTTGTTGAAATAAGCATATTAAAGTGCATTGTGGGTGCCAGAGTGCCTAAGTAAAACAAGATCAGCCAAGTAGGACTAGCTCAGGCCTTAGGTCCAGGTCTCTCCATGGGTTGGAGAGAAAGAGTTCCCGAGTCTCCTCTAGCCTGGATTAAAGTATCTTCTTCCCAGCTTGATTTGTGGTGTGTGTGTGTGTGTGTGTGTGTTGGGGGGTGACACACATGCCAGGCAAATGCTATTTCTCTGAGCTGCATGACTAGCTCAGGTCTTTTTTTTTTTTTCTCCCTAGACTCCTCTCCAGTGACCAGGCCTGGCCAGGAGTTCAGCTCAGTCTTATAAGCTGGAACATCAGACCCTCTCCTCAGCTCCTTGCTCCTCCCCAACTCTCATCTCCACTCCACCTGCATGCTTGTAGGCTCCTCCCCCATGAGCTCTAGACCCCTCCTCATATGCTCCTCACCTTCCCAACTCTCTTACCTATAGAGTCCACGGATGAAGTAGTAGAGGAACATGAAGACAAGAAATTCTCCATACAGCAGCTTATAGATGCTGCCTCGCCAGTACAGGAGGAGGCACGAGAAGGAACCAAGGCGGGCATTGGCTACTTTGCTTGTGTAGGTGATAGTCATGGCTTGGCACTGGGCAGCAGAAGGTGGGCTTGGGTCCTGGTGGGTAGGCAGAGAGTGGCGTGGAAATGGGTAGGAGTCAAAGACTAGGTTCTGATCTTGGACTTGCATGAGTTTAGTCCTGCCCTACCCTGGGCCTCTGTTTTCTAGCCTGGGACACAGAAGGGAGGTCTGTGAATTGCCACATGTCCGTGATTGTGGAGGATGGCAAAGGCAGTTGCAAGGGAAGTAGCAACATTCACACAGAGCTCAGGGCTGCAGAGCCAGGCAGCATGAGCCCTCAGCCCTTTTCCTCAGTGTATTAAATCATACTGGAGTGAGTAGCTCAATGATCTAGGCTAGCTGTGCTCACCACCGTTTTCCCATCCCCAGAACATAGCCTGGGAAGAGAGAATGCCCTACTGATAGTTATTGAATGGTGATCTCCAAGGCCACCCACTGTCTCGAGGGAATGGATGGTTCTCCTGAGGTAAGCCCATGGCTCACTTCCATGTCAGGTCATCTCCTAGGAAAAATGTCCCCAGCCATCCTACTGGAAGTCATGCCTCAGTTGTCGCTAGCAGCATCTTCCTGGTGTGCTCGATCCTTCTACATGGTTCATGTTTCTACTTGAATTTGTGTGCCACAAGACACTCCTGGTTACCGTTTGTTCTCTTCCCCCACCAAAAGCTCTTGTGTGTGTCAGCTTAAATGCTCAATAAAAACTGATTAAACCAGCAATTGACTACCCCATTCCTAACATTTTAGTGCCACCACAAACCAGCTGTTGTCTCAGTGCCTACACACAAAATTCATTCCTACCTCAGGGCCTTTGCACAGACATTCAGAGTCCACATCTCCCACATGTGTTACCGATGTGTGCCCATCACACCTGCATACATAAGCACAGTTGTCCACCCCTAAAAGCCCTCAAAGCCCCAGCCCTGCCTGGGGGCACCCCCTACTCACAGGTAGGGTTCCAGCATTTCAGGCAACTCTTAAAGGCTCTGGCCACTAGGTTGCTGGGACTTTCTAAGACCCTGAGGCAGGTACTTCTGCCCATGCTTGGAGGCTGGCACTGCCTATATAGATAAGTGCTGATTATCACCTGACCTGACCTAAGCAAAAGGTTCCACAAAGAAGCCCTTATCTCAGCCCCTCCTGTCATCTGTTCAAGAGCAGTAGCCAGCACAGCCTGGCCAGTGTTCCTCTGATTCTTTCCTGGGAGTGTTGACTTATCAGGGCTGGAATTAGGAGCCATATCCCCTCTTCCATGGCTCTAAGTTTAGAAATTGAGAAATCTGTGCTATCACCACTGCATCCTGATCCTTGAGAAGATTGGGGGGTATGATTGAGCTCCATTTCAGGTATCAGGAACTCAGGAGACTTTGTCTAGGCCTCTGGGGGTTCTCCTGAACAACTGCCACATGTTCTTCTAGTGACCTGCGAGCTAGCCCTGATTGGGCCACAGCATCCCCATCTGAAAAGGATGTGTTGCTCTGGAATATCCACACAATAAAAGTGACAGCAATTTGCATATATTGGTGAGAAGCTCTGATTGGCCACTGGTGACATCATAAGTTGTGGTGGCTTTGATTGGTTGGCAGGGCCTACTAGTTGGTACTTCAGAGCCAGGGAAAGAAAAGGGGAGCAGGAAGGCCAGGTGTGGCAGCTGCACTTGGTGGGAGATGACTATCAGTCTGGTACTTAAATTGTGTAATCCCAGACAACCCGAGAAAAACAAAGACACATGCCCAAGCTCCCAGGGGCAGCTGGGTGGCATCTCAGCAGCTCAGCAAACCTTAGTGTACCCGTCCTTTCTGAATGTCCCTCTGAGCATTGAGCTAAGATGGGAGTTTGCCAACAAGCTCACCATACATAAAGAACATGGGCAGCAAGAAGCACTGGTTCTCAGTCTTCACTGACTGAGACAGTTGCCAAGACAGTTACCAAATATGAAGCTTCTCCAGATCTTTCTTAGGCGTCTGATGCTGTGTCCTTGGAAACGTTGCATTTTTATCAAGTGCTGCAGGAGTCTGTGATTTGGGTGGTCTTGGGAACCACAGTTCTGGAAGTCTCAATTTACATTATGACCCTGAGCCTTAAAGTGAAGCCACCCTCTTACTCCCTGCTCCTTTCCCCCTCCCACACCCCTTCAGACACTCCCTAAGGAGGCTGAACTTGCAGGTGATTTTAGTACACACAGATTTTCCCTGTATAATTCTCTGTTCAGAAAGGGGGGAATTATTTCATCATGACCTTGACTACTTTTCTAATCACAGTGAACAATAAAGCTGGTGTTATCCTGGGAGTCTACTGAGATCGGGGGCAACCTTGGAGGAGGAAAAGCACCCACCCCTCCCTGCTACCCTGTCCCTGTCCTTAATTGAGCAGAGAAGGGACAGGATTGTTGTGAGCCTCAGTCTTTTCATCTGAAAAGAGGGTGACAATAAGTGCTGCCTCACTGCAAGATGAGAGTGAGGATGACAGGCATGTCAGATCTGGGGAGAGCGTGCCTGTGCCCCACTGGACAGGGGCAGGCCCAACTTGCCTAGGTGCTGGCTTTCCATTGTAATGTACAGCTGGGCTGAGAATTTCTATGGGCTCTTACCTTGTTTTCCCTCTTTCTCCAACACATACTGACACTCACAAGAGAGCTTGTTACCTAGTAGGTTCTCTCTCTCTCCCTCTCTCACCCCCCCCCCCCCCCCCCCAGCCCTTTCATCCCCACACAGGGTGACACTCAGTGAACAAACAAAAAACAACCACCAACAACACAA